ACTATAGCCGCTGCTTTGTCACAAATAAATAACTAAGGTGATGAAGAAGTTATAACATTTATATCTAGAACTCTAAAAGGAGCAGAATTAAATTATTTTACAACTGAAAAAGAACTTTTAGCTATAGCTTGGTCAGTTTAAAATTAGAAACGTATCTAAGAGGTGCGGAAAAAATAATTATACGTACAGATCATGAAGCGTTGAAATTCTAAACTACTTGTAAATTTACGAATGTAAGATTAGTGAGGTGGTGCTTGTTTCTTCAAGACTACAAACATTACGTACGAATATTTACCAGGTAATAAGAATAAAGCCGCTGATTTTCTCTTAAGACATATAACGGACTACAGCAACGACTACACCGATGAAATTCAAATAGCTATGTTGATGAAAAATCCTTCTCGAGATTTAATGAAAAATTTCAAGAATTTGGATTTATTACAACAAAAAGATGACTATATACAAAATCTAAGAAATAAAGAAAATTTTGATCATAGATATATAGTTAATAACAATTTAGTATATAAAAAAGATAAAATTAACAACAAATTATTATTACCAGAAATAATAATTCCAGAATTAATCAAAGAAATACATGATACCTATGATTATATTGGAAAAAGAAAAATTACAAAGATGTTACAGGAAAATTTTTATATTTAGAAACTTCGTAAAAAAGTAGCTGTAACAATAAATTGTTGTGATTTATGTCAGCACACGAAGTATTATACAAAAAAGACATTACCTGTAAATCCATACCAATTTTAGCCACTAGAAGATTTATCTTCTCTCCAAATAAATTTACAATATATGTAAATATTGGAGAAAGTGTGCTAATGATTTTGAGATAAGGAGGGATATAATCAACTTAGACGGATTTATCCAATCTAAGGAACTTTATCCCTTTCCCTCAATATAAATCTTAAAAGAAAACAATATTAAAATATATATATATATATATATATATATATATATATATATATATATATATATATATATATATATATATATCCACCCTTGCGTAATTCTTCGATTATCGAATGAATTTCGTTGATGTGATTAATGTTTCCACCTGATCGCTCAGTAACTAACAATCGAAGACGATCAACGAGCTCATTCGGGTCATCCAAGTATATGTAATCCATAGAAGATTGTTTTGCGCAACCTTGTAGATAGGCAAAGACGTACCAATCTGTAACAGCCTCTCGCCTTCTTTTGTATTTCTTTTTAGTCAAACCGAATAACGGACAAATTATGTTATTGAATTTGTTACTATTGTGCGCTCCTATAGCCTCGTTTGGATTCCTTTTCTTCCTATGAATATTAGATATCTCCAAGATTTCTTTGTAGCTCTTAAGATCATTGGAAGTGATTCAACTTTGATCAGGTTGCTTTGCAACCAGTAACTCCATTAAACCTTATGTTTTTGGATACTTGAGACCATCGACGTCTACGTTATTTTTGTCAAAAATCACCGTAGATTTACCAAGCGTGTATGATAAAGTAAAAGAAATTACAAGATGTTATATCAACATAATAAACATAACAATATTTATACAAGTGAAGCATTTACATTGCACCGTAAATGCAATGTTGTTTTGGCAATGGTTGATTTGGATCATCATATCTCTTTGCGTGAAATTGAGAGACGTACTGGAATCCTAAGAACAACAGCCGGTAGAATTTTGCGGCTTCATACATTTCATCCGTATCACATAACTTTGACTCAAGCTTTGATGCCAGATGATCTCCGCCGCAGACTCGAATTCTGTAATTGGTCACAAGTAAGGATTCGTGAAGATTCTGAATTTTTCAGATACCTAATATTTTCGAACGAAACTACATTTCATAGTAATGGGCAACTCAATCGCTGTAGCTCACCCCACTGCCGCCGCTTGACACACTGTCCATCCTCTGTCGTCTCGGTAAGTTCAATAGGTTCGTATCGTTTTTTCGTGTCGTTCTCCCCATTCCCGAGCACAAAGTACGGTCCTCAAAATCCGTGCCGCTGCCCGTGGCCACCGGGGCTTTCACCCTAACGGAACCTGGGGTGAATTCCTCCTGAGAAGGAGTTACCACTTGAGGTATATCAATGTTTTTTTTTGTGCCTATTTATATTTGTTCCGTTGTACTGAAGGTCCCTCGACTCCACGAACCGCGCTAGGACAACGCACGGCCCCTGAGGTCCCCCCTCCTCTTCCCTGTGTATTCAGTGTTCCCCCCTGTAGAGTCTGCGTGATTGTTAGTGCCCATAGTGGCAAAACCGGGCTTCGTTCACGGGGAGAGACCGATTACAGGTATCCCCTTCATTCGCTTTCGGGCGGCTCCGTTTATAGGGGTCCCCGACATTCGCTCTTTCGGTAAGCCCTATTTATAGGGTTGCCGAGCATTCATTCATCCCGGTTTGCCAAGAGGCGTGTGTGTGTAAGTGTTTGTGTAATGTGTGAGTGTAGGTATTTGTAAGTGATTAATGGTTGGGCACATCGGCAGAATACCATTATCTTTTGCGTCATTTGTGAGCCATATCTTCATCTTGGCCGTGTCCGTTAAAGCGTTGCTGCTCAGAGCATTGACGCGACGGACAACGTTTCCACCGGGCACAGTCGTGGACGTTGGAATCTAGCATTTGACCAGTGTGTTGTAACCACTCACTGGACCAGCCTGGCAAGAAATATATATTACTATTATTATTTCTATTATTATCATTATTATTATTATTTACCTCGCCCTTGCGCCGGTGGGATAGGAGGGGGGTTGACCGCACCCCACACATAATACCTTACTTGAACGTAGAATTTCCCGCTCTTTCCGAATCCATAATAAAAATTGGGTTTCGTATTAAAAAAAAAAAATTACTTGGTTATTTGGTTATTGGGGTTATTGGTGTTAGTTTATTGGGTTATTGGATTATTTGAGTTTTTGGGTTATTAAAATTAATCTTACCCTTGTCCGATCATCCCTGTGCATAAATTAAGAAAATAATAAATTTGGGGGACTCACGTGAAACAAGCACCTGAAAGGAAACAAACCGTACTACGTCCACGTCGTTGTTTCTGGGTAACGCTAAAAGTAAGAAAAACCTTTTCAAGGTCAACATTTTCAAGCTCGTTGTAATATTGGGGTTGCTATTCATGAGAAAAGTCTTGCAAATATCAATCATAGGATTTTGTAGCATTTGACTTTGAAATTTCCTACTCAAGTTCATGAAAAAAATGTTATAAATACAATTTTGGACGTAAAATTTCCCGCTCTTTCCGAATCCGATGTCAAAAATACGGGTTCCCATTTAAAAAAAACACTTTGACCTTGAAATAACCTTGAAGGTCAAGTTCAAGGTCAAAAGCGTTAACCTTATTGTGTTGCCCCCTTTGCCCTCTACAACTTTTATTAGAACCATTTTGCCTTATCTGGCTTAGGTTCCGAGTAATCCGGCTGCGGCGATTAAAATGTGTTGGGTTCGGGTCACCGTGTATGTGGCTATGGGTCGGTGATTGAGTTTTATTTCGCTATTCTTATAATAAAGATTTTTAAAACGTAGTATACATGTAGGTACATTGCATATGTCGTAACAATAAATCTTTTCGGAACAAGTGATATGATAAACCTGTATTATGTATATTTTTACCGTTTGAATAATTGATTATGGATTTGAGAAAATATAACTGTTATTACTTTCTCCAAAAGAACATGATAAGGATGCCTTGCTTATATATATATAAGAATTTTTCTCGAGCGGTAGCGGGCCAGTGGATTTCCTCAGTGCAGTAGCTACATTTGTTTCCAGAAAACGCTGGTAATGCGCATCATTACAAGATCTAACGGAAATTCGCTTTATTTTAACCTTATTGATTCGCAAAAAAATAGAGATAAAGCGCGTAAAATTATTGATAACTAATAGCTACTGATTAACGCTTGTGTGGGATATAATTTGTTCGTTCCTTGAACAGTGATTTTAGGATCTTAAGCGAGAAATAAACATACATTGTTCAATGGAAGGATTTAAGTGCATTCACGTGGAGCACACGAAGGACCTAGACACTCTTAAAAATATGCACTTGCATGTGGACTCATTTCTTGGAGGGATCTGAAATCCTATCACGCTGTGGCCGGAATCTCATCAACGTTTTCGATGCGTGGTTGTGAACCAATGCTTTTCTAATGAAAATGGATGTACTGCGCTAATTAAAATATAGAACAAAGATGTCCACGCTGAGGGTATATCATGCCAGGTACTGTGCGATATGTACCGCGTATGAATCAAAGGAAAGATTGGTTCAGGTCACGCAGCCGTCAGAGTTGTCGCTACTCCTGATATTGCTATTGCTGTTGTTGTTGTTGTCAAGCTTTTAAAGGTGTTGATGGTAGTGGATAACACTCCGACGTGAGGTCCAGCTCACCAAGTAAAAAATGAAAACAAAATCCCAAACTCATACGCACTCATACGTACGTTATGCTTGATTCCTTATGGTTACTTGCAGTTACGCATGTAACGCGACACTTATGTATGTTCACTTGTCCCGTAGTAAACCACTCTCTTTCTCTCCTCTTTCTTCCATCTCTACCTTTATCTCTGTTCCGGCATGCATCTTCACCTTCACAGATCGCCGAATCTGCGTTGCTCCTTTTTTCCGGCTACGACAATTAGTGCCTCATATCGAACGGACGGAGCATAAATGATACACCAATGCATGCACACATACGTATGATCCAACGATAGCATGTGTATACAACGAGAGACAGAGGACGGAAGAGCAATCATAAATAAAGCGGTTTTCTCCGTCATCTAGTTTTAAAAAAAAATAATTTCATTTAAATCCAATTTCTGAACTCAGCCTTCAATTTAAAGTAACTTTATCGTACAAACTCATTTTGAAGCTGATTTCATAAATTTTCAAATAACTCAACACACCGTACGTAGAAAAGTTCGGAAGTTACAACATTTTAATAATATTAATATACTGTATTCTCCTATGCTATTTAATATTTTCTATTTGTTGCAGGTTACTCTATTTGACGCTTTCATCAAAGAGATAAAATTTATTATAAATATATGGGCAGTTACAAAACCCGTTAGAGTTGAGTGTTCTAGCAAATCATTATCATCGAAAAATCGAGGTTCTAGTAAATCTAGTTCAATGAATCCTTCTTACGCAAGTTCTTTAAGCATAATAAATGTGACAAATGCAACCAACATGAATCAAATAAATATGTAAACAAATAATGAGCGCCTTAATTAAAACTAGAATATAAATTAAATTCAAAATTTGTTTCCTTTTTCATTGTTATTGATATCTTATTCCAACGCCCATTCATTCTGCTTCCATATGTATTATTTTCGTACGCTTTTATTCGATATTGCCTTGATATCTGTCTATCGTAATAACATAATATAAATTTTTACTTTGATTTACAACGAGAGTGATTGCACAGGCTTGCCTGATTTTGTTAAAGAATAGCTAAAAATTATCTCCAAAATTATGTTTGGTGTAGAAATTAATCCGGGCTTAGAACTGATCCATAACGTCAGGTTTTTGAGTAATTCTAAACTAAATATGCAAAAAATACGAGTTTTCGCTATACGTAAGCATCAATACCATCAATGTTTAAGCGTCATAGCAAATGAAAAATCAGCGAAATTGGTAATTGGCAACTATTCATATAGCAATAGTAGGGTTTAGCGGTGGTTCACCCTTGAAATATGAAATAACGAAAAAACTCCGAAGTTGATCAATATTATTTTATCATTTTCTAGATGAAAATTTATTTTTTAATTTTTATGGTAATTTCATAATTTTTTACGCGAAAAATCCAATCAAAAAGGTTGTTCTTTCCCTTTACATCGTAGGGGTTGCAACCCATAGAGATAGAACCTATATAGTTATATTCACTTTTTTATAACGAATTTTTCAAATTTTTTGTTGTCGAAAAATATTGATATAAACCGAAGATATTGCTGTAATAGTGTTTTAGGAGTAGTTCATGAGGGAGGTCTTCAGCCCTTACATTTATTTTCCTACAGATTAACAGTGTCATTGTCTAGCCTACTTTTAAACGTCATAGCATATGGAAAATCAGCAAAATTAGTGATGGGCAACTGTTCATATAGTATTAATAGGGTTTAAGGGTAATTGACCCTCGAAATACATACAAATGAAAAGACTACAGTACTAGTAATCTCACGCACCTTCACTCCTCTATCAGCCATCACAATATCATGAATTATATTGTTACGTCTCGTGCATCAACTACGAATAGCTAATGAATGAGACGTTCCAATATGTTGACTAGTGGTTGGATATGTCTCACTTATAATAAATATATGTGGAAATGTATGTCTGATAATTGTACTACCTTGATAATCGTAGCTTTTAATTGTTGATAAAATGTAGCAGGCTCTAACTGCTTGTTGGATTGTATGAGTGTAGCAGGCTCTAACTGCTTGTTGAATTGAATAAATGTAGCAGACTCTAACTGCTTGTTGAATTGAATAGGATAGGTTGTTGAATAATAATTGCACGATATTACTTTGTAACAGTCGCGAGTTTATTAAGTAAAATGATCACCAATTGTCGGACCGATGTGTACGGAGTTGAGTTTTACAGGTACTTATTGACTGACTGACGGACTACTGATCAACTGCTGAGAGTAATTTGTTCATTGCTTTTTATATCTTTTATAGCTCTTTTCAGGTCAGTATTGCGATATTGTGTGACATTTTGTTTTCGCTGATTATAAATTCTTGCGTTTTGGTGACTTAGTTTCGGAGTGTGTTTCGACAGCTTTTTGCTGTCGTGTGAATAGCTTAGCAGTTTTGAATGTGCATATGTTACAAAAAGGATGCGTCGTAAGGCTTAATTTCGGAGAGTCATTTACCTCGCGTTTAGTTAGCTTTTTGCTGACGTGCGAATAGTTTAGTAGCTTTGAATTTCGCAAATGTGCATTTTATAAAAAGGATGCGTCGTAAGACGTAACAATATGAATGATTACTGAAGTGGTGATCTCAACAAGGCTTTTAGAATATTCAGCGTCTCTTGTGCTTATAGGGCCACTTCAAAACTTTTCAACAACTTATAATATAAACCATTCTTATCGAAGGTGCACAATCACCATAATGTTTCTGTTCAAGTTTCTGTTTAGGCTCTTGAAGAGTTTTGCCTTCAATAAAGTAATATTTAATCACCATAAATTCTTTTTCGTCCATTTTTTACAAGCATTCGATTTCTTTGATTCAAACGAATGTTAAACACAAAGTAAAATAATGATAAACCAATCTGGCCAAAATTTGGTGTGTACTCTTTAAAAATATGGTATTAGATGAAAATAACTTCGACACACCAGTATCCATCTCTCTAACTTTTTAAACGATCCTCGTAGAACATATCGTTTTCTCTCAAGGGTCTTCAGCTTCTGTATTATCCTGCACTATCGTCTCTTAGATGAAGATAGGAAGGCAGGCGAAGGTGGGACGCTGGAGAGGTTAAGAGCCCTTCGTCTTCTTGTTACCATAGTTAGCAGGAAGTCCTCCTGCAGCCACTTCTTCGAGGTTTGTATCCCCACACAATTGCTTGAAAGCACTAAATTCAATGGTGTAAACAGCTTTCCTAGCGTGAATGTAATACATTGACCCAAGTTGGTTAAGCATATTTTCACTTCTTCGCCTTTTCATACAAAGGCCATGGCCAAAAAATCATACAGAAATATGTATGATTATTCGCTGAAATACTTATTGTAGTTATTGCACAGCTGTGACAATTAATCTGCACTTTAATTCAGCCCCTTCGTGGTTAAGTGGGATACGGCTTTAATATTAAGAAAAGTTTGAATTTTGCTGTTATCATATCCTAATACATATATATCTGTTTCGTTTATTTTCACAATATAGTATGGGTCTTAATATAGATTTAAAAATTTTTATTTTATCAAACGCTTTGTCAGTACTCCTCAAATGTTTTAATAATACGAGATCGTTAATTTTATATTGATTATGTTTCATCTAATGGTTACGTTGTTCAGCTCGTTTGTTAAGTTAGCAGTGTATTTTTATTTTTGTTTGTTGAATTAGATTGTGGGTTGTTGAATTGTCATTTTTGCTAAAAGACAAACATTGGTGCTAAAACCACATTCATTTTATCCCTAGATGGAGTTCCATTGGAATAGTTTCCATAGTTTCATAATAAATACTCTTGATAATTAATTGAATTTTTGGCATTAATTTAGTCCAGCACTTATGATATTTTTGAAAATAGGTGCGAAAAAATCTTCCTAGCTCATGATAAATTCTCTCAACTATATTCCTTTGAGAGTGGCGGATACTCGAGAAAATTAATGATACATACGTTTTAATCATTTTAATTAATTTTTGGCGTTGCAACGGTTGTCGATTCGATCAATCGATACATTTGCGATTGCGTAGCACTCGCGATGCTAGAGCGAACGTCTAAAAGAGAGAGAGAGGGCGCACGAGAGTTCAATTTTCAGTTAAGCCTCAGCTGTTGATTAGAATACCACCAAAAGCTTTCTATTGTATTTTCGCCATTTGCCGATCAAAAGTTTTACTGGTTATGATTCGTGTGTGAGTAATAGTTAGGTGCGATAAAAGCCGCAGCGAAACAGCAGCATTGTGCAGCAACAGCCGATAAGGTAGCGAGGAAAACCAGCGCAATCTTTCCAGGGTGAAGAATTAGTTTGTCAACAACAATTATGGCTGATTACCGTAATCGCACCACAGGATAGGTGCACCTCTCTTTTTTTACGCGACAAAATACTCGCGAAAGTAATTTGTCAATCGCGACCGCTTGTGCATTCGCGCCGAGCGTTAGATTTTGCAGCAGAATTTTGAATTCTCTCTCTCTCTCTCTCTCTCCCCGTATTATTCTAAAATTGTAAATCCTATAAGCGTGCGCAAGTCTTTCGGCCCAACGAAGACTGTGGATTTTTTTGTTATAAACATCTTAATTTTATTCGCCGCATTAAGTTATTTCGTTCCCTTTAGCTCATTGGAGCAGTTACCGTTTATTTTTTTTAACAAATTTCATCTAGAGAATATTGGAAAGGAACATTTATCTCAGTACACCTAAAAGTAAGCAATTGTCACAAGTCAGGTGACTTAAGGTGAGTTCAACTCTGTTGGAAAAAGAGACATTGGAACGAAAGTATCATACGTAAAGGCGAATACACGCAGACGTGATAAACGAAGCGACGGTTAGCTCTGCATCGTGGGAGTTTATTCTTTAATAAACCCAATTTGTACCAGCTAATCCACCCCGTTATAGCGTTTTCAAAAGTGAAATCATAATGGCTGGCGAATTTGAGTGATTTAATTTTCGACCTGACAACTATCTCTTAATAAAATAGCTTGTTAACTTCCTCTTGGGTTTACGCATTTGTAATACTCAAGAAATGTTTTGTTAACTAACGGTAACTCTATCTTCCTATCCAACTTACGTTATCTTTTAACACAATCTGCTACAACAAGGATATTAAACTGAATTGAAAATTCAATTCGTTTCGAGTCTTTTTCTGAATTCAACAAATGATAATTGAAATCCATTAAAGTCGAATAAATCTCAATCCATTTAAATGTTTTTTCATCCTGTTTGCCGGAATCTTAAAACTATAAATCCGTTTTTATGTTAATTTTTCATATTTAGATAATTAATTTCGTATACTCACATATTTAAATCTAACAATAGTAAACTATATTAAAATATAATATTGTAGTGAATTAATTATTTATCTATATAAAATTACTCAAAAGTATATTATTGTACTTTATCAATAGCCTATGAAAATAGGAATTCAAAAAATTAATTGCCAGAATATGACAAATTAAATTAAAATGGATTATAATAGATTACATTAGTAGAATAATCAACATTAGAGATTCCATAGAGGATGCAATCAAAATCAAAACAAAATCTGAATTGTCCTTTATGAAACAGGCAAAATTTGATAACGAAATCATAGAAGGATTTTACAACCGTCTACATTTTAATTTTCGCTGTTCTTCAACTTCAAAAAGTCTTCAACTATGCAATAAAAGTAAACAAAAATTGAGTCTGCGGGACAAGCAATACGTAGCGCAAACAAGTCACGAAAACCGTTAGTAACAAGCAGTAGGCCACCTCAACGAGGACAACCAACTGCAGCCCATTAACCAACGAAATAGCCACAAATCCAACACAAATCCAATCAACGTTTATATCGGCGCCTCCCAGTTCACA